CCACGGGCGTGCGCACCTTCCGGGACGTTCCCTAGCCTCGCGCGTTACCCGCCCCTCTGCACCCCGAGAAGTGGCGGCGGCCAGAACCCGTCCGACGACGCCCGCTCCGTCCCATTCGGTCCGCGGCTCTTCTTCAGACCGCGAGAATAAGTGTGTAGGAGCCCGCCGGCGTAGGGAACCTGGGGAGCGGGTTCGCCTCAGCGAAGTGGGCACTCCCTCCCCAGCCTCGGACCCCAAGCCGCAATTCCCCGACCCTCCGAGGCCGCGACAAAAAGCGCGCGACAAGCCCGGGAAGCGTCTGTGCCTCTGCTCTCTTCTGGTCCCACTGTCCCCCAGCAAGCAGGCGGGGTGCCGACCACTTTAGGGTCCGCTCTCCCCTCTCCATCCTCTTTCATTTTACTTTTATCTCTCTATCACCCTCGCCTTTTCTGCCTTCCCTAACCCACTTCTCTCTTCAAGAGAGCCCCGCTCCAAGAACCTCTCCCTCCCACGCTCCTCCCCCTCATTGTCTGGCTGGTCCTCATTGTCCGATGCCCGGTCCTCTCTACCTCCAGTCCCTCCAGTCTCCTCCTTCATTGTTCCATCTCCTGGTCTCCGGTTCCCTGAACAAGCCACGCTTGCCCCTCACATCTCTAGTTCCCGTCCGATTCCCTCTCCTTTTCTAGCCTGCGTTCGGTCCCACGACCCTCCAGAGATCAAGATGCTCAAGGGGAAAGTCTCCTCGAGATCCCAGCACTCAAGCGCCCTCTTCCGAAGAACCCAGGCATCCGAGAACCCCAAGACCCCTCCTGAGAGACCCCTCCCAGCTCCTCCACACCACCCCCCCGCGGTACCCTAGGGCCCGCATCCCTGCGCTCCTCTTATCTGCATCTTTACCCTGGATCTCAGGGTCGCCTCTTCGCGCTGAGAACCTTAGACGCTCCTCTGTGCATACTGGCAACGGAGCACTCCCGCCATCCACCCCCTGTATCTGGGACCCCAAAGCTCTTATCTGTTCTCCCCCCGGGAAACCTGAACTCATCGGGGTTCCAGTCCTAGGAAAGGGAGCGGTCTTCCCTTCAGCTAGCACTCACCCCCAGGAGCAGCAGCAAAAGCAGGCGCGGCCCGTCCATGGCGCAGCCGGCGGCACCTGCCCCCATCGCCCGCCTCCCGCGGCAGCGCTCGGCTTCCAGTTCAGTCCGCTCCGCGGACGGATAGGGCTGCGCTGCGCTGCGCTGCGCTCCAGCACCCGCCCCCCAGAGTTGGCCGAAGCTCGGCTCCCTCTGG